CAGAACGGACAAAACAAGTGGTACGAATACGCGCCGACTTGATGTGCGCCTCCAGCGAGGCGCCGACGGGGAAGGAATACGCCAGCGGCGATACGCCTCCGGCGATGGGCAGGTTAGGAAAAGACAACCTAGTCGAAGCATACGCTCCACTGCGGCGAACTCGAGTCCGGAAGACGATGGCGAACTCGAGTCCAGAAGACGATGGCGGCGGGAGAATTCAACGTTCACGCATGCGAATGCGCGCAGTGCGGAGTCGTGAATTCGAGCATGCGAGGGAGAACCGTTAGGCCGTATAGCCGGCTGCGTAATCAAGTTTGATTGTACCCAGTGAGAACGTTGGGCGAACTTGAATTCGGAGAAGAAAAGACTGCTCTCCAGTCTCATTCTCTCATTCTTGATTGTGAGTTTTCCAGCTTCAGGGATTAAGCGCAAGGGCGGAGAGACCTGCAGTGAGAAGAGAGAGTGCGGAGACGAGTTGTGCGAGGATCTTGACCGACCTTGCAGAGAGTTTGCGAGCAGCGAAATTGAGCGCGCAAGAGAAGAGAGAGCGATTTCAGTCAGTGTCTGAGCGACCGACGCGCAGCGGCGATTGTGAAAGATCGAGCGGAAGGGAGAACGTCTGTGTGTGCAGGAAAAGCAAGAAAGATGTCGAAGGTCCCCCAGCTGCGAGTGTCTCCACTCAGAGTGCCGCAGATCGGTCTGCGCGCATTCCAAGATGTGTTGACAAGGTTGAAGCTTGATTTCCTCCTGTGGGGATAAAATTGGACGTGTCCGGAGATGGTGCGCGAGTATTTGCAGGAGAAACACAAGCCCTCGCGTGGATTCCGCCCACATCCCGAGAGGTGGGACATTAGTGACTGGGCGCAGGTGTTAGGAAGGTGTGCAGGCGAGGAAGGGTATCTCCTCTTTGAGGCCGAGAGCGTGAAGGTTTCCAAGGAGGAAGAAGTCTCCTACAATGATCTTTTCAAAGTTGCCAGGCATCCCAAGAACGGTTTCCGGACGCGGGATTACAAAGATCGATTGCGGAGAAATGTCGCGACTGCATTGCTTCAGATATTGCAGCCGACCAAGACCGCCTACATGCATGGTTGGCAAGTGGGATTTGTGGAGCTAGTGTTGTCAGGAGCTCCGGTTCATTGGGCACGGCTCCTTTGGAAGGTGACGCGCCAACATGCGCAAGAAGAGAGAGGAGGGACCCTCAATCATCTTTCGCCTTACCTGATCGTGTTTTATAGAGCGATGGGATGTTTGACAACTTCAGAGCGGACACGGTTTCCGCTGCTGACCCGGAGTTATCCAGGTAGATACTTGCGGGAGGCCGAAGTGGACACAGATCCGGACGAAGTACCTGCCAGCCCAACTCCAGCTCCAGCTCCGGCTCCGGCAAGAGCAGCAGATGAGCGTCGAAGTGAGCGCGCACCGCGGAAGCGGAAATGGGATGAGAGACCTGAAGACAAGCAGCCGGAAGCTCCCGCTGCGCCGACTCGGAGTCGGCCAACCAACGAGCTTCACAGCCGGCCGAAACAGAGGGCACGCAAAATGATGTTGCCAACTAGTGGTGAGGAGACCGGGCGTACTCCAGTCCGGCGAAGTATCCTGCCCACGCAGGAGTAGATAATCGCGCAGATTCTGGGGAGGTCGGCGAACCCCTCTGCGCAGAAGGCACCGATGCCTCCAGAAGAAGACAGGCGAACTGACAGTCGGCCGACTGCGAGTCGGGCGACTGAAGGACGGCCAACTGAAGAACGGCCAACTTAGCAGCGCGTTGAACCGGACAGCAGGCCGGAAGCAGAAGGGAGTTTGGCTGACGAGCCAACAACTCTCAAAGGGTCGTCTTCGGCAGAAGGCGCTTCTGGGAAAACGCCTCCAGCAAGCAGGCCAAGTGGAGTGAAGACGCGCAGGGTGGATCCGACCGCCAGACGGACAATTGCTAGTCGGCCGACTGCGAGTCGGTCAATTGAGAGTCGGCCAGATTCGCCGACTGCGAACCGGACAAGGCCGGCGACCATTGTGCGGGCGCATTCGGCGGACACACCTCCGGCGAAGACACCTTCCGCGCAGATCGCGTCGGAAGAACAGGCAGTAGAAGCGGGCGGTGCAAGGGTGACAAAAGTAACTGCGGCGCCGACCCCTTCGAGAACCGAAGATCGAGCCGGAACAGGGGCTCAGGCAGTGGGATCCCCCACTGCCTTGGATATTTTAGCAGGGAGTGGAGCGGCAGTCGCGGCGGAAGCTGCCGCGCGCCACAGTTCCAGGGAGTCGCCAAGAGATTCTGTGGCGACTGAAATCCTCGAAACAGAGGATGAGACGAGTTCGGAAGAGCAAGAAGCGGACTCTGTGCAGAAGACGCCAACAGGGGTACTGTGCGAGCAGATAGTGCCACTCCTGCGATATTTGGATCGCAAGACAGCAAAGTACTCGAGTTCCAGAAAAATGCAGTCTTATGTGGAGATTGTCAAGAGCAGGACGAGGAGCAAGGTGGCCACTTGGGCCACTAGGTGCCAAACATTGCAAGATAGGTATACTGCCCTCCGCCAGCACCTGGCGATCAGCAGAGGCTACACCAAACCCTGCAACAACAGCGGGAGGATGTGGCGACGAAAGCCCAGGCGGATGCCCAGCTAATAAGGGCAAAGATCGAGTCGGAATTGCAGGAAGAGCGGAGACAAAACCGCATTCTAACAGAGGAGCTTGCGCGCCAGACGCGCGCATTAGAGGAAAGTCAAAGCATGCGCAAGGAGGATGAGGAGTTGTTGCGCAACTTGCAATCCGAGTGCGCGGAATTGAGGGCGCAGCGCGCAGATGCGGAGATGCAGCTAGCAGAGGTGGAAGGCAGCAGCCGGACGCGAGAAGAGTTGGTGACGCGGGTGACTCACTGTCTAAGAGGATACGCCCATTGGGAAGTGGCGGCACAAGAGAAGATCACGCTCAGGGAGTTTGAGCTTCGGGCGGCGGCATTGACGGAGGGTGACAGTCGGAGTCGGCGGCGAGTAGCGAGGAAATTAGAAGACTTCTTGTCGGGTGCGCGCGACACTATGGCACACTTGAAGTCGGAAGTGACTGCAATCCTTCGGCGGCTGGGGTTGCGCAGCCGGTCGGAAGATTGGCAGGGTAGAGAGAATGTGCGAGGCAGCCCGGCGCGCAGGAGGCGCAGCACCGGATCTGCAGAGTGCAGTAGTGTAGCTTGGTTTCGTGCAGAAGTTTAGGGTAGCAGATAGTGCAGCGTAGTGTTAGTTAGTACCTTAGAGGATATAAAGTAGTTCAAGGCGTTTTGCCTTGGGACTCTTCCAGTTTCGGAAGTGCAGATCAGGAACTCACTTTCTCGGCGTGTTTGTGCATTTGGTCCTGGCACCGCGTAGAGGAGCTTCAGCATAGTGAAGTTACCGCATGTTGTAGCTGAAGGCCTTCGGCTGAATGTTCAGAGCTAGTACACCGGTTAGAGACTTGAGTAGTGCGGATCTGCACCTGCGGGTGATTTCTGATGCTCAGAGCCGGTTGCGAGTTAGATACTTGAACAGTTCCCCCTTACTCCTTCGAGTGACATATCCTGATTGTACTCCTACGGGAAGTTTCCCCTGAATGCCAAAGTGAAGTTTTGTTACTTCGTGTAAGCCTTGGTTATCAATTCAGGTTGTGTGTGTGTGTTACGGGATTGTGTCTCAGTTGAGTTCTCAGTCGGGCCTGTACTCTCTGCGCTTGGTGTGAGTCGAGGGTGACGTCCACTGCGTATGAGGGACTTCGTTCCGAAGTGGGAAGTCCAGTCCGGGTTCCCTACGCTAGTTCCTGGCGGAAGGGCTGTAAAAGCCGGAGTGGGAGTCACTACCTGCAGAGCCTCTGAGTGAACTTTTGAGATACTTTCCCCCCTGAAATCCTAAGCGGAGGTCCTGACCGACCTCCGAGTTGTGCTTTTCCAATTTCAGGTGTGTGTGTGTGTTGAGTGACTTACGCTGTACTGTGCATCATCCGAGCATCCTCCGAGTCGAGCATCCTCCGAGTGACCTCCGAGTCGAGCATCCTCCGAGTGGCCTCCGAGTCGAGCACTGCAGTATTTCTGGGAGTGACAGTCGCCTGAGAATTCAAACTCTCCAAAAGTCTGTTAAACGTGACACTTTGTACTCTGTGTGTTGCCTCTGTCCCTGTGGGTTCGATCTTTTTTACCACCATACTGCAGTTTTAGCCTTTGGTGGGTTATTACACTGTCTTAAGAACTTTGGAACAATTTAGGTACCAATAAGCATCTAATATATTATAAATCAGGCGAGTCATGATACATTCATGTCTATTGGTTGTTTTCAATATTATACTTCATATACATGAAGTATAATATTGCATATTGGGTATGCAAAGGATTATATGTTGGCCCAATCACTTTGTACATTATTGGATTTTATTTCGATTATAAATTTAGGTTTGGGGTGATAAACTTGCCAGGCTAATTCTAATGAAAATTTGAATTCAATGTTTTTTTACATTGTTGACTTTGATTATAGGTTTTAAGTATGTCGTAACGTTCACAAGGAATGAACACGGAGGATGACGAACCACACCAAGACACTGCCAACCAATTCCAAGTGTGTAAGAGATTCAAAGTTTGAAAAGCCACATGATTCATAGCATCCTTCTAAAATCAGGAGGTGGCCTTACAAACTTTTCTCGATAATTCAAGGCCCATCCCAAGTATGGACTCACCACTCACGGTGAGTATAAAATGATCATTCTTCAGATTATATAGTGACCAGATGCAATATTTTCGTATTATGCTCTAAGTAATTGTTGAGACTACTCGAAACCAGATTGCAGACTCGAGTTTGTAAGTAGCGGTCCTCGAGTCCTTGAGTCCACGAGCATGTGCGCCTCCTTAACAAAGGCAGACCGTGGCCCCATTTTCTGCCCCATGAAGAACACCATGTCTCTAGCTACTGATCCTCGTCGCTTTAATGCTGTGATTGAAACCAGCGTGAAGTGCTTTCTCGAGATACTCGAAAGTCAATTGTCAATAGGAGCTCCGTGGGTGCAGTACCTCTACAGTGCCAATTTCCAGATACTGCATTAATTTCTCAAAATCTGGACGCTTCAATGAGCATCTCTAGCCAGCCATGAATAAGTCGCTTCATAGGAGGTCGAGATCGCCTCGATGTACTTGAGTGACAGAGACTGCGTCCTCGTCCTTCTTGACGAAGCAATTCTCCGACACGCGGCCCCGGCGGTGCAGAAGCTCGTGGAGGCGATTCGACAGGCGACGAGCAGAGCCTCGGACGGGCAGCAGATCGAATTCAGCGAGGAGGACTGGAAGGAGTGGGAGGCGAAGCATCCATGCGGAAGCCGGCTGGAGCTCGCGCCGCTCTACGCAGCGCTTATAGAAACTTTGAGTGAAGAGACTTCACACAAAGTTTCTGAATTCCCACAAGCTGATGGCGTGGCTCCCTGTTTCCAAATAAAAGGTGCGAAGAATCAAATGGTTTTGAGCATCTTCAGCCGTCGCTAGTTGAACTGGATCTGTCTTCATCGAGTCTAGTTACTGACAAAGCTATCACGTTTGGATTCATGTTTTGATCTCAGAAGGAGCCTTCGGTGTTTGGCTGGTGCAGAATGGGGCCTTCGCATGTGAGCCTCCTGTGAAGATATGCAGGATGGCAGAAAAAAACTGGCTTTGACGAAATCTACGTGGAGCCGGCGGAGATCTTGGCTAAAGAGTACTTGTCGGAACCATCACTTCATGAAATGTTGGTGCTCCCAGTGATGTATACGATGCGCTCTGCGCGATAACTTATCGCGCCACGCATCTCTATGGTTTATCGCCGATAAACCATAGAGATGCGTGGCGTGACGATTATTGCACCAGCTCTAAGTCTGCTGTCTCTTCTGGATGGGACTGATCATATGTTTGACTGTCGCTTGTGTACAGTAGTGAATTACTCTGGGAGTCAGACCATTATATCAGTAGATAGTAATCTGGTGTAGATATATGGGGTTTAAGCCAGAAACCCTTATATCTACACCAAGGTGACCTTAGACTTTAAGGTCATCTTGGTCGCGAGCATTAATAAGCGATCATTGTATTGGGTGTCGGATATGTGTTTCGAGCTTAAAGTTCAACTTAAAAACGGTTTCCGGTTCCCTATCCCGAGTAGCAACACCGTGGGCGATCTTAACAGAGCTTTTACGGGGTAGTCCTCCGAGTTTCGAGTGGTAATCATTGCTGTCAAGTTAGTAGAGCAATCAGAGTCAGAAGTTCAAGTTGAATTATGATGTCCTCAGAGGTGTGATATGTAACTCAAGCAATGAGGTACTGATCACACCTCTGAGTGCGATCGGTACCTAATTTCTCAGCAACCTAGAAGTGCGAGTGTTGCTGAGAAGTGAAGACGTAGGAAGCATGTTACTTGGTGTGATTTCAAGTGTATAAAATGCTAAATAGAGGGTTCTCACCTCAATACTGTCGCGGATGTTGCTAATCTTCCAGGTGACTGAAGAGTAGAGTGGTAGTAAACAATGGCAGGTTCTGCAGAGTCTATAGTACCTGCAGTTGTAGGAAATGCATCAAGGAGTGATCCATATGGATAAATCCTGGATCATATTGATGGGGGTTGAATACTCAACCAACTCTAGGTCCTTCATTGCACAGGATGACCCAAAACGGTTCCCACAAGCTTCTTGGACGCAGTAGAGAAGTAGAAGCAGGGGAAAGAGTAGCCATTTTGAAGCTGAAATTAGACAACAGTTTTTTTCCTCGATGAGAAATTGTAAACGTAACAGCATTTGTGTTTTAGTACCTTCTGTTAAATAGACTAAATGGTCTTTATGTGAATCGTACATCGGCACACTTTCACGATGTTCAAAAGCTTGATTAGTTCTTTTGTTCGATTATTGTTTCGGTTCACAGCTGCAGCACACACAGAGATCAGTCCACTGTTAGTCTAGACAAAACTTAAGTCTCCTTGCCAGTCTACAGACTCCGATTACGTGATCTCCATTATTGTTAGATTACTTCGTATGTCGCTTGTTCACCCATGTTAAAGAAAGATGCTTTGCTTTTCCACTTATCGTTGGTGAGTGGAGGGTTTCTGTTTGCCGACGAAGGTACATTTGAGCAACAGAGGATGTACAAATTTTTCATCCAATTATTGATCAGTATGAATAAGATCACGTTGCTTCGATATGCAAATCTCGACGATGGACATTCAGTATTACATTCAGATGATGTACATGGAGTATGTTCAGCAATTGATTCCACATTTCACATGCAACTCACTACAGTAAAGTTAAATTTCCTGAGTTGAAAGTCTGTGAAATTGGAAGAAAAATCACAAATGATGGCTGGAAATAAACTTGTACAATCTAACGTGAGAGCATGGCCGAGCGAGTGAGCGGACGAAACACTTCTTCAGACACCAAATGCTTCATCTAGCTCGTTGTCCTGGATCTGCTGCCTTCAGGCTTTCCCGTCAACTGCCGAGGCCAGGCGCATGCTCTGGGCAAATGAAAGTCGTCAATGTCTAGCTCGGCATGCGGGAGATGAAGACTTTGCAGAAATTGCAAAACTTCCCCTAAATAAGAATCTGAAGACTATCTGAAGACTTTGCACCACATCAGTGCTGCACATACCTCGGTCAAACTTCCTAACTTGGGCATCGGTGATAAATTCGGGGACATGCATCATTTTGTAATAACACGGACAACCTTGACGAATGCTTCAGAAGAAAGAAACTTTCATTGATTTCGAGGATGATGGCGCAAAGGTATACGTGGAGTCAATCTATTCCGAAAAAATCGGATTTCCAGACGGAAGTGCAGTCGATATCTTTACCACCTGGCATATGTCAAATTGCGGCTCACAATAAGGGCCGGGCTCTCGTCGCTTTACATCGCGCCGTCAGAAATGCGCGCTTGCGTTGCTCGCTCGGTGCAATGGAGCAATGGAACTCGAGCAATGGAGCGAGCCTCCTGCTCCATTGACCCTCGAGCAATGGAGCAGGGATGGCAGTAGCCCCCCAGGGCTACTGCCAGCCCAGCCGACGGGATGCTCCTACTTCACCATGCCCTCCCGGTAACGGGTGGGTATGAAGCGTGGGGAACAATGTAAGAAGTATATGTTACAGCATATAACCTGCTAGGAGTGGCAAGACTACGGATCAACGCAAGTGAACTGTGCGACGACACTTCATAAAGAACCACCTACGAGCTTTATGGTTCGGCTTGTCTTGCCTCAATCCGGGCTGGGCTCTCGTCGCTTTATATCGCCGACACGTGTCTCACATCACATCATCGGATCTCCATGTCTCGCTGGGTGCGCGCTCAGATGGTTGAATCATGCATGGTTGTATTACGCAACTTTATACGGTCTCCCCCACCCGATACGTAAGGTGGGGGAGGGGAGGGGGGTTACCATAAAGCCTGGCCTTATGGTTTCTTTTTATTACTAGTTTTCTAATCTTTTAAATTAGATAGAGTCTTTATTACCTAAACGTATTAAACTGATTAGTCGACTTAATTAAGAAAGTTATGATTTGGCGTGTACATGTTATAAAAAATGAAGAGTGGACATGGATGCAAAATTGATGAATTTTTTAATTTATTTTATATATTAATGTAAAATTTTTAAAATTTTACATTAAAATTTGTATTTTGAAAAAATATTCAATAAATTAAATTGAACTAAATTAAAATTTTAAAAATTAAATTAGCCTAAATTATCTTTTTAGTGCACAAAATTAACCTAAGTGAACTTTGTAAGGATACTAAATTAATTTAAATTAATATTTTTAATAGACTAATGTAATTTTTTGGAAGAGACTAAATTATAAATATTTAGATAATTTAAGCGAAAAAGACTATTATATCCATGTCGGGTGACTTCTTGTCGCGATGGTGACAAGAGGGATATGTCACGACAGTGAACGTATGCCGTGCCTCGTCACTAAGGGCTCCTAAAAAATGAGGAACGCGACCTCTGCCCGCAGCCCGACCCCGATCGACCCCGATCTCGATCTCGACCCCGAAAGCTTGTCCTGATTGCGCGCATCCTTCATATGGTTCTTGACTGAAGAGCAATAACGCTACGATATGCATGCATGATCTCAGTATAGCACTCGTCTGTTGGCCGAAGGCAGAAATAGCGTGCTAGCTCAGAATCCGGCCCAGAGATAAATTGAAGTTATTATAGTGCCAGAAGGTATTCTAAACCCTTGACTTGCTTGAAAAGTACTACTGTAGCGCTGGGCCGGATTGCTCTTTGCTCAATGCTCAATCGGACCGTGCGATCTCATAACGGATGCTCAATCGGACCGTGCGACCTCATAACCGAGCCATCCCGGGAATATGTTTGACTTGCTTGAAAAGTACTGCTGTAGCGCTGGGCGGATGCTCAATCGGACCGTGCGACCTCATAACCGAGCCATCCCAGGAATATGTTTGACTTGCTTGAAAAGTACTGCTGTAGCGCTGGGCGGATGCTCAATCGGACCGTGCGACCTCATAACCGTGCCATCCATACCCCAACCATCTATAAAACCCCGGGCTTGAACTGGATCAGCATCACACACAATGCAAGCTCGTACTGTTGTTCACTCAGCTTCCAGTTTTGATTCAGATCCAGATTTGACAGCAGCAGCTTCAGTATCCAGTACTCGCAGTTTCAGCCCTCGACGACCGTACTAAAAAATTCCGGACTAGAACTGGATCAGCATCACACACTACTCGCTCGGATTATTTGATCAGATGGAGAGCGCCAAGGACTCCGCTGCTCACACCACGGAGCAGACCAAACATTTTGTAGCCGAAAAGATTGGGCAGGCCCAAGCACACGCTGAGGGAATGGGCCAGGCTGCCAAGGACAAGGCCAACCAGCCCGGTCAGGCCACATCTGATGCCGCCCAGACGACCAAGAAGACGGCTGCTCAGGGCAAGTACAAGGCATGGCATTTCGTGCGACAGGTACCATTCTCTAAATCACGTTCTTCTTTCAGCATGTGAAGTTGCAGCTGCCAGAGTTGTGTTGTCACGCAGGTTTTACGTCCGTGGACTGATAAGCACCGTTTGGCTGATTGCAGGCTGGTGACAAGGTGATGGAGATTCTTACCATAATTTCAGTTTGTATAGGTTACTGCGCTTGGTGCAGTGACGAGTGAAAGAAGAGAACCAAAGCTTGTCCTGATTGCGCGCATCCTTCATATGGTTCTTGACTGGACAAGCAATAACGCTACGATATGCATGCATGATCTCAGTATAGCACTCGTCTGTTGGCCGAAGGCAGAAATAGCGTGCTAGCTCAGAATCCGGCTCCAGAGATAAATTGAAGTTATTATAGTGCCAGAAGGTATTCTACATCCACTTCTGACGTGTTTAGAATAGTGTACAGCACGGTTGCAAAGTGTAGGGACACGTTGAGACTCACGAGAGCTCATCCAAATGTAGTGGCGCCTTTAAAGTGGAAGACTTTCTCTCTAAAATATCAGCGAGTTGCGAGTCGATGTTCCCATAAATTATGCCAATTTGGCGAACATTTACATTTATACGGAGATTATATAAAAGGAACATGATAACTTGCAAGACACTCACTCATGGTCCTCATCAAGTGCTATTTCATTTTATATTATATTTCAAGCATTTTTTCAAAAAATATGTAAAAAATAAATTAACAAAAATGGAGAAAAGTAATACAAATTGAATTCATTTATTTTGATGTCATTCATTAGTATGTTAAAATAAAAGATGATTTTTTATGTAAATTCAATAAAGTTCAAGATTAATGTTAAAATATAGTATGAGAAACACATACATACATATTAATGATTTTAACTTACATAATATTATATAAAAATTAAATATAAAAATTTCAAATATAGATTTAAATGATAAAATGAAAACTAAATAAATTTGGTTTTAGTTTTTTTTTAATTCTTCAATCATCAAATTTTCATTGTTAAAATAATTATGTTATTTTCCAAGCAAACTTTAAACAATATGTCAATCTTGCAATATATATAAATAAGTATCTACACAGCATGAAAATAAATTCATTGAAGATTACGTTCAATTTTTCATAAAATATGTATGTTGATATTTTTTAGCAAATATTGGAATGAGTGTATGTTGGCTATTATCATTAATTTGTGTTGAATGTGTGTATATTGATTATGTGCAATTTGCGTTCATTGTAGACTTCATATAAATGGATACAATTGAAATTTTTTACATCAGAGAATGAAAATTATTCAAATAAAAATGTAAAAAAATAAAAAAAATTTGGAGATGATTTGATTAATGCTACAAATGATTTTAAAAAAATGATAAATTTGATATGTAAGAATTATTGTTGTACGAATTTATTAGTTATAATATAAATCCAAGAATTAATCAATTTTTATTCATGATAGATTCTATTAATATTTTATTATGAAATTTATATTTGAAAAAATAAATAAAATAATTTTAAAAGTGATATATAATCATCATTAGTTTATTTCATATCCAAAAATTAGATTAATATTCAAGAAATATCATTTTCATATTTGGTTTTGGTTTTTTTGATTTAATATTAAAAATTTGTTGATTTGATTAAGTTTAAATTTGATTTTATGTTAGGTTGAAGATTTAAAACTTTCAGTTGTTCAATAGTATGTAGTCATCTCATCTCAAAGATTATGAAGCTTCTATATCTAAATTACTCAATCATATGTTGCCATGTCTTTGAATGAATCACAGTTATCAAGATTAATGTTAGTCAAATTTGATTAGATATAATTCATAATCATAATTTTCTTATTATTTTCTAGCATAGTGTAAAATAGATTGGTTGAATAAACACTTTCAAGTATGTTTAAAAGTATTTTTATGTGAGATTTTGTTTTCATCAATCAAAATTTTGTACTTGCAAAGTATCTTGAAATGTCAATAAAAATTTATTTCAAAATGTGTCAAAGGAATTTTTGACATAATTATGTAGTTAAAGATTCAAAATTTTTTAATCTTGATGAGCTATAAAAAATTATCTGAGTTAAATTTGAATAAAAAATTAACACCAAATTGACACTAACTAAAGAACTTAATTATAATTACTAGTTAGAGAAAAAAACATATTTTATGCAATCTAAAATAAAAAAGCCAAAAAATCAATACATTTTGTGGCATATTGAAATAAAAGTTACAATATTATATTAATACAAGGATGAACTGTTTGTATTCAGTAGATTACAAACAGTTTTTATTGGATTTAATAAAACACTTTTTATAAAGATCTTTCAAAATTTGGTGTAAAGAGTGCAAATCAATTTATGAAAAATTCTATTGAAAATGTCAATAATCTATGAATCATGGAAGATCATAAATTATGACTCTATGAATGAGATCATGTACAACGAAGTATTTCAATAATTATGATTATGTTAATTTTGGTTGTTAAATTACTGTGAAAATAAAAAACACGTCCATACGGTTTGAAAAAAATTATAGAAATTGATGAAAAAAACCTATACTGTACAGTTTTATTTTATTCTATCAATGAAAACATTAAATCAATCACTAGATAGTTATATAGTTTTATATATATATATATATATATATATATAGTTTGATTGTTAAATTGTAGCATAATTGTCAAAAAGTCGCAAATCCACTGGAGTTCTGTATCGTAAACACTGGATCAATCCTTTTAGGATGAAATATATCAGTTTTGAGACGAGTTGAAAAGGCAGCAAGAAGTTCTGACAATACCACCCAGCTTTGACAACCGGAAATATCATAAGAATTTATCCGACGATTCAAACTCATGGAAGCCATGAAGAGGTCGGAGAGTGTAGACTCCGCGCAGGATCTTGTTCCAGGTTTCTTCTGGGACAAACTTCCAAATCCACTTCATTATTGACGCCCAGTGCTGTCTCAAGATCCTTTGTAAAGTCATTCTTCATTGCTTGGAGGGTGAATTGCTGCACCCTTCAACAACATCCCTTGCATTGGCACATTACCAACTTAGCGAGACAACGAGACATTCTTTATGCGGTCAATGCAGACAATGACAGAACATAAGAAACTTTGAGTGAAGAGAGTTCAGAGTCTTCACTCAAAGTTTGAGCGAAGAGTCTTCACACAAAGTTTCTGAATTCCCACAAGCTGATGGAGTAGCTCCCTGTTTCCAAATGAAAGGTGCGAACAGTCGAATGGTATTGAGCATCTTCAGACATCCGCAGGTGAACTGAGTCTGTCTTTATCTAGTCTAGTTGCTAACAAAGCTATCACCATCGATAAAACAGTCATGTTTGGATTCGTGTTTTGAATCTAAGAAGGAGCCTTCGGTGTTTGGCTGGTGCAGAATGAGGCCTTCGCATGTGAGCGTCCTGAGAAGTTATGCAGGATGGCAGAAGAAACTGGCTTGGACGAAATCTATGTGGAGCAGGCGGAGATCTTCATTTGATGAGTACCGGTTGGAACCATCACTTCATGAAATGTTGTTGCTCCCAGTAATGTATACGACCGGCTCTGCATGATAACTCACTAAGCTGTGGCAATGATCTGTCGTTTTCTTCTCTGATGATTTTGTCGTCCCTCACTTGATTGCAACTGTATTCTTGTATTGTCCGCATCGATTGTTTGTATGCATAGGCGATAAACCACAGAGATGCGTGGCTATGACGATAATCGCACCAGCTCTAAGTCTGCTGTCTCTTCTGGATGGGACTGATCGTATCTTTGACTGTCGCTTGTGTTGTGAATAACTCTGGGAGTCAGACCATTACACCAGTAGATAGTAATCTGGTGTAGATGTACAGATTTAAGGTCACCTTGGTCGCTAGGATTGATCAGCGATCATTAGGTGTAGGATTTGTGTGTCGAGCTCAAAGTTTAACTTGAAAACGGTTTCCTATCCCAAGTAGCAACACCGAGGGCGATCTTAACAGAGCTTTTACGGGGGACTCCCTTGAGATTCGAGTGGTTGTTATTGCTGTCAAGTTAGTAGAGCAATCAGAGTCAGAAATTCAGGTTGAATTGTGATTTCCTCAGAGGTGTGACTTGTAACTCAAGAAATGAGCTACTGATGACACTTCTGAGTGCGATCGGTACCTAATTTCTCAGCGACCTGAAAGTGTGAGTGTTGCTGAGAAGTGAACACGTAAGAAGCATGTCACTTGGTGTGATTTCAAGTGTATAAAATGCTAAATAGAGGGTTCTGACCTCAATACTGTTGCGGATGTTGCTACTCTTTCAGGTGACTGGAGTGTAGAGTGGTTGTAAGCAATGGCAGATTCTACAGAGTCTATAGTACCTGCAGTTGTAGAAAATGCATTCAGGAGTGATCCATATGGATAAATCCTGGATCATAAGGATGGGGGTTGAATAATCAACGAACCCCTAGGTCCTTCATTGCACAGGATGACCCTAAAACGCTTCCCACAAGTTTCTTGGACGCAGTAAAGAAGCAGAAGAAGAGGAAAAAGTAGCCATTTTGAAGCTGAAATTAGGCCACAGTTTTTTTTCCTCGATGAGAAATTGTAAACGTAACAGCATTTGTGTTTTAGTACCTTCTGTTAAATAGACTAAATGGTCTTTATGTGAATCGTACATCGGCACATTTTCACAATGATGTTCAATAGCTTGATTGGTTCTTTTCTTCGATTATTGATTCGGTTCACAGCTTCAGCACACACAGAGATCAGTCCACTGTTAGTCTAGACAAACTTAAGTCTCTTTGTCAGTCTACAGACTCCGATTACGTGATCCCCATTATTGCTAGATTACTTCGTATCTCACTTGTTCATCCATGTTAAAGAATGATGCTGTGCTCTTCCACTTATCGTGGGTGAATGTAAGGTTTCTGTTCGCCAACGAAGGTATGTTTGGGCAACAGAGGATGTACAAATTTTTCATCCAACTATTGATCAGTACGAATAAGATCGTGTTGCTTCGATGTGCAAATCTCGATGATAACATTCAGCATTACATTCAGATGATGTACATGGAGTACGTTCAGCAATTGATTCTGCATTTCACATGCAACTTACTACAATATAGTTAAATTTCCTGAGTTGAATGTCTGTCAGATTGGAAGAAAAATCACAAATGATGGCTGGAAATAAACTTGTACAATTTAACGTGAGAGCATAGCCGAGCGAGTAAGCGGACGAAACACTTCTTCATAGACCAAATGCTTCATCTAGCTCGTTGTCCTGGATCTCGTTGTCCGTTGCCTTCAGGCTTTCCCGTCAACTGCCGAGTCCAGGCGCATGCTTTGGGCAAATGTAAGTCGTCAATCTCCAGCTAGGCATGCAGGAGATGAATGGCGGTAGAGAGCAGCAATATACTCTGTGTATATCTCAGCCCGGCAGATCCATTCGAGTATGAGTAACGGTGTTGTAGAATCGAAGTCATATTCTACACGAGCATTCTTCTAGAATACAACACTCTTAATAACTCTCAGGGAATGGCCGGAAACGTAAGTTGTATTACAACAACCACAGTTCAAAAGGGCGTGTTAAAATGATTGTGTATGTGTTTACTGCGATTTTCAACAGCAATACAATCTCACATGTTTGCCAGAACATCCAAAAACCGGTAACCAAGTGTGCTATAATTGCTGAGTGCGAACTTCTGCTACTCTGTAATGCGGAGTCATCGTTACATTTGTCGCAACTGTCCAGAACTTTGATGCGATCTTAATCAAATAATCTTAATGAATCTAGGTACTGTAGCAGGGTGCAACATAATCGCAAGTGTTACCCCTCGTGTCCTTGTACAGTCGTTTCCTTCCCGTTGTCTTCACATAGCTTCTTAACTACTTGGCCCCCTTGTGGTCTTGCACCAGAAAAATTAGCCATAAAAACCACTATTGTTTGGGACACGAGATTAGTACAACCGTAAAGCAATGATTTACAATAGAGTTGCAGGGAGGGTGACCATAGCTGAGTATACATCATAAACTTTCATGTGCTTTCCGTATATAATTGTATTTAGAAGTACAACTCTACCGGCCTATCCTGAAACGACTTAAAGTGAATTATCTTTGGATAATCGACGTTTAAAGTAATATATTATGTAACGCGATTCAACGGCATAACTGTGGAAGACACTTTTCAAAAATGGGCCCATCTCCATAAGACTGTCTTGGGGGAATTTATTCGTTGCTCCTTCGTGAGTTAACACACAATCAACCGTTCGTCATGATTTTGTCTTCACAAGGGTTTGGGTGCAACACTCGAGTTAGTATATGATTGCTATTGTCAACTCTGATTATCTGGTAAAGGAATCTCTGAAACAGTAATCTTCTGAAGTGTTTTTGGGTGGAAGGCTTCTGGCTCTAAATGTTCTAAATGTTCTAAGCAAGGATAGCAATAGTGGTGACTACTAGTTGTATAGTTCTTCAATTTATCCGTATAGCCTTAGTCGTTCCAGATTCGAATCTTCAAATTAGTCCAGCTATGGTAATCTCCATCCATATGTGAGGCTGGGATAGATGTTATTACATAAGTTCATTCCTGAAGCAATCCGAAGGTGGATTAATTCAAGCGCTTGAAAAGGGTCTTATATTGAGCTATGATTACGGTCAAAAGTATGACAACATAATTTCCTGGTATACTTAGAGGGAGATTGATGTGCTCTTTCAACGTGGCGAACGGTGAGTTCTTTCGCACACTTTGAGCTCCTTTCTGGTGATAAAATGTGGACACACAATTGTGTGTCACTCCACGATCCACCATAGGCAGGCCTCTGCTAACTTGGCATTTGCCAGATTTGTCATAACTTAGTCTATTATGGCATCAGTCAATTTTTATTTATGACAAATATGACACTAAATTTAATTTGCTTGAATTGCTTATAATGTATGCTTACTAGAGTGACAATATCATTAAGTAAGATATATACTCATCTTTCTCTTGAATAATCATGAAGAATTCACCCTTCACATACATAGTTTGGAAAATCTAAGTTCAAAAGTAATCCATGCTTCATCAAATTCCATGGATCTGGCATTTGATCCATTGTTTTGCAGAGTATATCTTCTTTTTCTCATTCTATCAATGAATATATTTTTAATTTTGAGATCAAATAAAAGGTAGTAGAATTGTGTTGACTATGTTTCCGTTATAATCCAAACACAATTGATCATAGGACGCAACAAAGTGAGTAGGATAGTATTCAAAGAAAATTTGTTTGACGCGTAATTACAGAGCATGATATTCACTCCATATTTGCCAAATGTTGACTTTCAAGATGTTGTGTGGTCAATATGGAACTTTAAAGTATTTTATGGTTCTAGTTGGACCTTAGCTTCTGTTAGATTTTTTTTCCACCGCTCATACTTGGCAAAACCTACAAAAAACCATACGTGAAGATCTTCAACCCATAGTCAAGTTTTGCATTTCTTTGAAGACATTTCATCAACATCATCAAGGACAAGAGAGAACAAAAACGTTTTAATAGTGAACAAGAGCGAAAGTAGACTTGGACTTACATTCTTATTTATGGCATCACGGAAAAATTATTTATGACAAATATGGCACAGCACCCCCAAATGCCATATTTGAAGAGGCCTGACCATAGGTAACAACAAAACATTACTGACACTCCTGACACCTACCTAAGGCAGGTAAATTACCTGCTTTACTACATTTTAGATTGGACATGCCTCCATTAGTGAAGATAAATTCTTACCATAGATATATCAACTGTATTATGCTTAAAATGTTGGATTACTTTGGCAGTTCTCATGTTTTAGCAGTTTGGAATTTCTGTACTTCGGCACTTCACATCAGCACATTTATGTTGGAACTATTTTACTTCGGCTTTGACGTCTTGGCATTTCTTTATTTTGGTTTTGGCGTTATACTACTTTTCTTCTTTGTTTAGGCACTTTGATTTTGATATTTTAACAGAATTATACTTTGGTTTAGGCACTTTGGCTTTAAATTTTTTGCATTTAATTCCTTCATATCTACACTTTAGCTTTGGCATTTTTGCTGAAGCACTTGTTTACTTCGGCCTCGACTATTCAATAGTCTTGTATTACTGTATTTTTTAACTCTGATTTCAGCACTTCGTATGTCGGTTTTTCGCCATTCGGCTCTTCTCTCCCTTTGCATCTTGGCTCTTTTTTGTTTTTGCTTTTTGACAGTTTCAGCCAGTTGTGGGGAAGTGCCGGGTCCGGAGGACCTTGAGCCCCCAGGGCTACTGCCATCCCAGCCGACGGGATGCTCCTACTTCACCATGCCCTCCCGGTAACGGGAGTAAGCATAATACATATGCTTACTCTCCCTTTATATCTTGGCTCTCTTTTGTTTTTTGCTTTTTGACAATTTCAACTAGTAATTATGCTACTACACGACATCGTTATATCTTCATTACAATTGCAATTCAACAATCAAACTCTTGCACATATATATAGATATATAGCTCGTAACCTGTTTTCATTGATAGTATGGGTTTTTTCATCAATTTCAAAATTTTTTTCAAATAGTATGGACGCGTTCATTATTTTCACAGTAATTTAACAACCAAAATTAACATAATCATAATTATTGAAACACTTTATTGAAATACATGATCTCATTCATAGAGTCATTTCATGATCTTGCATGATTCATAGATTATTGACATTTTCAATAGAATTTTTCATAATTTTCATAAATTGATTTGCACTCTTTACACCAAATTTGAAAGATATCCATAAAATTTTATCAAATAAAATTAAAATCTACTTAATACAAACAGTTCATCTTAGTATTTATGAAATATTGTAACTTTTATTTCAATATGCCACAAAATGTACTGATGCTTTGGCTTTTTGATTTTAGATTGCATTAAATTTGTATTTTTCTCTATCTAGTAATTAAAACTATTTTTTTTGTTATGTGTGAATTTTTTGTTAATTTTCATTCAAATTTACCTGAAATAATATTTTCTAGCTCATCACGATTAAAAAATTTTGAATGTTTGCCTACATGATTGTTTCAAAAATCCCTTTGACATATTCTTTCTGCTTTTCATAAGTTTTTATTGACATTTCAAGATACGTTGGAAGTACAAAATTTCGATTGATGAAACAAAATCTCACATAAAATCTTTTTAAACATACTTGAAAGTGTTTATTCAACCAATCTATTTACACTATGCCAAAAAAAAAGGCTATTATAATTATGTATTATATGTAATCTAATTTGACTAACATTAATCTTGATAACCGTGATTCATTCAAAGACATGGCAGCATTTGATTGAGTTATTTAGATCTAGAAGCTTCATAATTTTTGTGATTTTTGTGACTACATACTATTGAACTCTTGAAAGTTTTAAATCTTCAACCTAACATTAAATCCAATTTAAACTTAATCAAATCAAAATTTTTTTAATATGAAATCAAACAAATCAAAACTTATGAAAAAATGAATTTATCTTGAATATTAAATCTAATTTTGGATATGAAATAAAATATTGATGATTATATATCAATTTTGAAATTAATTTAATTATTTTGTCAAATATAGATTTAATAAAAAAAATGTAATCAAAAAAAATAAAATTAATC